TCACCTTTGGTCTGAGAGCAGCCAGGTTAGGGTTGTTTTTTTTTTTTTTCCCCCTCTGGAAACTTGGAATGAAACCATTTCCTCCCTGCGAGAGGGAGGAGGGCGAACGGGCTCTGCTGCAATCATGGAGCTGTAGAGTTCCCACTTCCTTTGCTTTTCATGGCCATGGTGTGTGTGTAGCAGGAGGGATTTGGGAACGGGGGTTAACGCTGTTCCCTTTTCTGGGGGGTGTTGCCATTTCCACAGGATACCGCTACGTGATCCTGGACATCCCTCTGCTCTTCGAGACCCGCGGGTTGACCAAGTTTATGAGATACACGGTCTTGGTTTATTGGTAAGTGCCCCAGGAACCATGAGGACAGGGACACTGCCACCTCTCTTAGAGGGGGCTGTCACATCTCTCTGCTCTGGTGAGGGCTCAGCCACTGCCCTGGTGCGAAGCCCATTGAGAGAAGTGACATCTCCCTTTGTCCTGTGGCACCTCCCTTCATCCTAGTGCACTTGAGGGGGCTTCTTGAGCTTTCCCTGGAAGCTAGCACCATCATGCAGGGAATGTTGTTCCTTTGGGCCTTCTACAGCCTGTACACCATCAGCTGGGGCAGGATTTGGGGCACTGCCTGGTGTTGTGGGCTGTGGGAGTGCCAAAAACACGCAGCAGAGTCATCCCGGGCAGTGCTGATCCAGTGGCTGGGGCAGAAATGACACGGGGAATGTTTCTCATTCCCACTTTATTATCCCCCCTCATGCCCAAGGAAGGCAGACCCCCCTTCCCTCCCACCCCGCCTGAGCTCCATCCCCTCCCCGGCAGTGACCCCCCGGCGCAGCGCGCGCGGCTGATGAGGCGGAACGGGCTGGACGCGGCCGCGGCCGACGCCCGGATCAGCTCCCAGATCCCACTGGAGGAGAAGCTCCAGTGGGCAACTCACGTCATCGACAACTCCGGGGACCGGGAGAGCACCCGCCGGCAGGTGCTGCAGCTCCACGCCCGCCTCGAGGATTCCCTGGATTTCCTCTGGGCCCGGCTGGCGGCGGGCGCGGCCGTCGCCGGGCTCGGGGGGCTGGTGTTCCTCCTCCTGCGGCATCTCATCTCCTAATTCACCTTTTCTCTTAGTCAGGGAAGGGGCCTGAATTCCCTGGTTTGAAAAGGGCACCAAAAGGCCACCTCTGTTAATGAGCTTTGCCAGCTGAATGCAGACAGCGGGGAGAGGTGTCTCCTTGCACAGTTCCCAAGGTGAATGTAGCCAGGGGGGTTTTTTCCGGCACCTTCTCCCTGCTCAGGTTTTCGCCCACCAGCTGTGCCTGTGGGGGGACGCTCTTGTTGTCCCCCCTGTGGGTCTCTATGGTGGGACTTCGGTGAGTTGAGGCACTTTAATCCAGGACGATCTCATTCTAATCCAGCACAATCTCACTTTAATCCAGGACAATCTTACTTTAATATGGGACAATCTCACTTTAGTGTCTTCCAGGACAATCTCTTCCCTGGGAAGAGGTGGCCTCTTGGGCCCTGTCCCTGCCAACAATGTCCCTGGGGTGATCCCCTGCAGTTTAGCCCTCCTAATCCGAGTTTAGACCTGGGATTTCCCCTCTTTCACATTGATTTAATGGAAACGTGTTAAATCTGCCTGGGGGGGATGGACAGCACCTCGTTCACGTGGGTCGGGTGTTCAGGTGGCTGCTCCCCTCCCTCCTGCCCTCTAATTCTGTGACCATCACTCGTGGATCGCCCTTGTCTTTGGATCCAAGGGTCTGATACGCCCCGGAGCGGGCAGAGATCTGGGCTCTGCCTCGTTCAGACTCATTTCCTGCTGTTTGAGCTTCCTTCGGCGGCGCTTTCCCGGCGGGAGAGCCGAGCCTGGGCGAGGCGGGTGCTGGCTCTTCACTTTTGTTTTAATAAAACACTGAACAGCAGCTGCTCCCGCGGCTGCTCCCGCGGCTCTTCCCGGCCCATTCCCAGGTCGTTTCCTATGCCGGGGCACGGCTGCGCTCTGTAAAGTTCAGCACACGCAGGCAGAGCTGACGGGCGCTCGTGCTCTTCCCAGTAAACATCCCTGAGCTGCTCCAGGAGCTGCTCGGAGCGTCAGCCCTGCCCTGAGCTTCCTTGAGGGGGGCTGTGGATCCATGTTGGCTCTGGGCAGTTCCAGCTTCCTGGGATGTGATCCTGGGCCCCCTGTGGTTCTCTGTGCCAGTGCTTTCCCCCTGGGGTACCCCTGTGTCCACTGCCACCCCTTATCCCCACACTTTGAGAAGGGTGGGTGCTGCCAGCCCTTGCCCGCCCCTCCTCCCTGCACGCAGGGGTCTCCAGGATGCTCCCACCCTCCTTCCTGGGCTCGGCCCTGTGAGGCAGTGTCCTGGCTGTCCCCAGTGCCAGCCTTTAGGCACAGGGACCGTCTCAGTGTCCCCAGACAGCACGTGCCCCTTTTAGGGGCCGGACACCCTTCCCACTCCTTTGCCCTCCCCTGAGCCCCACAGTGCACCCACAGGTCCTGTGTCACACCCATCTGGAGAGACCCAGCGGTCGCTGTGCAGCCCCAGAGAGCATCCCCGAAGTGGGGGGAGCCCTTCAAACACCCCCTCCCTGCTCTTAATGCTCCTTAACTGCTCGGCGCTGCCGGAGTCCCTCCCAGCCAGCCATAAATCAGGGCCGGAGCGCGATTTCTCGGCCGAGATAAGCGCTGATTCCACCTCCCTCCCGCTCGCCTCCGCGATAAATGGGGCCGGGGGTGGAAGGAG